ATCAATAGGAACGGAGCAGCATTGAAAAATATCGGAAAACGGGAACATTATTCCTCCTTTGACAGCTTCCGTTGCTTACGCTGCTTAAGCGGTTAAAGTTACGTAAAACTCATGTATGATGCAATTGTTCCCCTCTAAAAGTTCTAAAAAAAAAAATCCGCGACAGCATATGTCTATCTTTTAAGGTCGACTCAGTATAACCTTTTTTATGGTAATGAAATTTGTTCTAAAATAATTTAATATATCTAATATAAAATTCTCGTGTCACAGTGTTTGTAATCAAACTCCTCCCAAACGGCTTGAGCGATTTTTATGAAATTTTTGTGTATACAGGCTGACTGCGAAATACATGCAAAAAAAAAATGGGGAATAGGTCACAATATGATTATGTCACTGGCATTTTTTGCATGTATTTCGCAGTCAGCCTGTATAGGAACAATATTTCTACTATAAATTGAAATTTTCTGTGAAACTTGGTATTAATGTTCTTCAACATAAATAATGAAACCCGTATTTAAGCATTTTCTAAAATTTAACCCCTAAGGGGGTGAAATGTGGAGGCTAATTTTGTATGGGAAAATATTTCTGTTGTATATTATATTTACATTTTTACGGGAAACTTGATATTAATGCTCTTCAACACAAATAATGAAACATGTATCTGAGCATTTTCTGAGATTCAACCCCTAAGGGGATGAAAAGTAGTGGCTAACTTTATATGGGAAAATTATTGCTATTGTAAATTTTTGACGTGGAATTTAGTATCAATGCAGAATGAAACACGTATTTAAGCATTTTCCGAGATTCAACCCTTAAGGGGGTAAAAAGTTCTGGTTAAGTTTTTATGGGAACAGTATTTCTATTCTATGAAACCCGTATTTAAGCATTTTCCATAACCCCTAAGGGAGTAAAATGTAGAGGCTAAGTTTTCATGTGAAAAATATTTCTATTGTAAATTTAAATTTTTACGTGAAACTTGATATTAAATTAATGCTCTTTGATACAAAGAATGAAACCCGTATTTAAGCATTTTCCATAACCCCTAGGGGAGTGAAATGTGGAGGCTAAGTTTTCATGGGAAAATATTTCTATTGTAAATTTAAATATTAACGTGAAACTTGATATTAATGCTCTTCAATACAAATAACGAAACACGTGTTTAAGCATTTTCCGAGATTCAACACCTAAAGGGGTGAAATGTTGTTGCAAAGTTTGTATGCGAAAATATTTCTACTGTAAATTTAAATTTTTACTGGGAACTTGGTATTAATACTCTTCAACACAAATAATGAAACACAGAAAATATTTCAGATTGTTTCGAGATTCTACCCCTAAGAAGATGAAAGGGGGTGACAACGTTTTTATGAGCAAACATATTTTTATGTCGATTTTTCCTGGAAATTGTGTTAATGACCTTCAACACATTTTCTACTTGAAGGTTGGTAATAATGCTCTTCAACACAACGAATCATCTACGCGAGCGAAGGCGCGGGCGAAAAGCTAGTATGGACATAAATACTCAAAATTAACCATGTAATTACTAATAGGAGTTCACTTTCCCGTTAGTTATCTCGTTTAAATATATTGCCCTTCGTTCGCACTTGTGCGGACCACGGTATATCTTGCAATTTGTGCCTCCGCGGTGCAGAAATATTTTTGTGGAGTAATTGTGATTAAAACTGGATGCGGATTCGTAAACTACAAGTGTAGGGGTGTAAAATTTTGTAAAATTTAAAAAATATTTATTGAACAGATACACAGACAGACAGACGAAAACGGAAGGAACATTACTGGTAGGGATGGTTAGACAAAGTTTGGTTAGCGTTTTTCTATTTACAAGATATTCATAATGCAGATATAAAATTTGACAACAATTGCTTCAGTAGTTTCCCCTTGTGATTTATCAGTCCATTAATATTTTTTTGAAACTGCTTATACAGGGTGACTCAAAAAAAAGAATGAGACAATTTTTGTTACTGATTAAAACAGGAACTGCAAAACTGAAATCCTGCACATGTTTTAAAGTTACCCTGAACATACTACATTTTTCATCAAAATATATCTCTTTATTATCCTCCCCCTTCAAAATTTGTTACGTAACCTCAAAATTTTAACCGAATAAATCCTTTCAACAATGTGCAAAAGATGATGAGTGTATATTTAGAACTGTTTATACAGCGTGGGAAATTTCAAAATATCTTATTGGCTACGTGTAAATGTATCGTAAATATTCAGTCCTTAATAAAAAGGATGTTCCTAAATACATAGGAAGGGGTTACAAGATAATGTAAACTTAAAAGTCTGTCTTTAATTGCCTCTTACTTGGCGTTGTGACTTACAGATTAAATTTAGGAAAGCTTAGAGAGTCGACACTCTCATAAAATTTTGTTATCGGATTATGAGGGGTTTAAAAGGACGGGCTCCATTGGTTACTTGTTATAGATTTGGGTGGACTAGAAAAATGGCTAAGTTTATTTGACCACAAGAAATATTCTGTCCCTGTTTACTCATTTATTAAGATATTTTACTTCTGTAATGCACAATGGATTTTTTAATACAATTTCTACTAATGTATCTCTTAGAAAATTTAAAATTGATCCATCAATAGCGAAAACCAGATAATCTCATACTCATCATCATCACAATTTTAGCACGATGTAGTTTTTTTTTGACAATAAAATTTAAAAAACGGAAAAGCAGTCTGGGTAGGAGTTTTTTACGCTCATTTCAATGTGAAATTTATTACAATCGGACGTATACTTTTGGCAAAAACTTGTGCAGAAGTTTATATAAATTTTCCTACGCTGGAATATGCTTTAGCTCACCCTTAAAATGATGAAGAGCTTAGGTATATTATGGTTAAGTATACCTGGTTTGTTAACAAATTCTGTGCTAAATTCGTTTTCCCTACTGGGTTCTTTGTTGGGACGAACCAGATATAATAATCCCAGCAGGCCAGGTAAACGATTCGTAGAAAAAAACAAAATAATATTTTTGAGTATTTGGGCTAAAAGCAATTGCAAAAAGTAATTGTAAAAGTGACTGAATTACTCAAAAAAAGTAATTCGTTGCAATTACTCATTACATTTTTTGAAAAGTAATGCATTACAATTACTCATTACATACTTGAAAAGAAATTGAATTACAGTAATGAATTATTTGTAATTGAATTACTTCCAACCACTGCTGTAGTATTATACTGCACCTATTTAAATTGATGTATGAGTACTCGCTAAAATTTTGACAACGTGATCAAAAAACTTTTATATGGGGAAACAAAACTAGAAACTTATTCATATGATGTTTTTTTACCTGTTTAACAATCGGCACATACATTAATTTTAGTTCATAGGGATCACCATAAAAAAAAATCTCAACGTTATATTTGATAATTTATCGTAGCTGTGTTTGTTTGACTGTATTTTAGGGGAAAAGTAAACATAAGCATACTTATAACAATTACATCTGGGTACTAAGATATTCTTTTATATTATAATGGGCATTTTTTAATAAAAAATGTTTTTAATTTAGTTTTATATATCTTAAATTTCCTAATTTTAGTTGCATTGGTAGAGCGTAATATATTTTTAATGCTGAAAATAAAACATTTTCAGCATTAAAAGAGGAAAAGTGGTCCAAGGTTTCTTCGATCATTTTTTTTATTTAAATAACATTCATTCAAAAAATTGTGAGAGACGTATCAATTTTGGGGGGAAGGACAAACTGATAAATTTTGTTAAACGATTTACCATGCTTCCGATAATTCGATAATTTTAAAACATTTGTAAGATTTCAAAGCATTCGGTTTTGTAATTTCAAAGTTAAAGTGTAAAATTAGTTGTAAAATTTTGATTTTTTTTTTCAGAAAAACTCAACATAGTCTAATAAACCTCAAGTGCAGGAACATGTTATTTTTATAAAATTAAAATAACATTTACTATTGTAAAATTGGGATGACTAGACAAATTTTGTTTAGCGTTCCACAATAAACACAATTTATGCCTCTAAAATTTGACAACAACCGGTTCAGTAGTTCTGCCGACTATCTGTCTAATAAAAATCGACATAGGCAATAGACAGACACACAAGAAAAGACCTGACAGACAGACAGACAGATAAACAAACAGTCAAAGCAGACGGACCTATGTTTTCGTACTCTGTGGCTCATAAAACGTTGAGAAACATGAAAGTAGCCATTCACTCGATGGACCCTATTACAATACTTACTTAACATACTCTCTGGAAGTAAAAAATATATATAAATCTCAGAAAACAATTTTGAAAAGAGCCGATACTATCCAAATCTGAAGCCTCGATTTAGTAACATTAAATAATTAAATAGCTATTATTGAAAAATGCCATCTTTTATGCATTGTATCTGCAGTAAATGTTTGAGAAGTTTCGTGTTAAGAATTATATTGGTAATTTTTTGATTTATTTTAAAGAAAACTCATAATGTTCACTTACCGTTTATGCTAAGTTGCGAAAGAATAATAAGTTAATGAAAGCCAGTAATTTTAACGCCAGATGTAGAACAATGCCAAGACCGTGTCCTTTAACCACTAAAGATCGAGAGGAAATCATATAAAATCTCGTTAAACAGTTTGTTAGTGTATAAAGAACTCTTACAAGTGACCTTTAAGTTTCTAACTGTTTAGTATGACTTTAATTAACAGTTAATCAAATACCTACGTATTTTACGTTTATAAAGCACAATTGCTTTGGGAAAATCTTGCCAATCAAATATCACTGACTTGCCACATGGGAATTGTTAACAGCATTGATGAGGATTCACCTATAATTGAGTTGCTCTATTTTCTGTCAACAAGAATTCGCACCTTACTCATAGACTAACTTTAATGTTACGTGTACCGAAATTTTGAAGTTTAAAATAAGAATGAACCCTGGGAAATTAATTGGCTCATCATATTTATATAACCATGCGAAATAATGTTTATCGTTAACAAATAAGTCAAATAACAATTTTATTAAATACTTACTGATAAGATATTTTTCGTTTGCGACTTGCAGGGACGACAGTGCTATCAACAGTTTGGAGTTCCATTAAATTGTTTGAATTCTCAATTTCTTGATGAGATGTGCTCGAACTACAAGGATTGCTAAAAAATATAAAAGAACGTGTTCATTAGAAGTGTGTCTATTCTTTTTTAATAGAAGTACTTACTCAGATATGTTCGATATGTCATAATAAGTTGCTGAATTATACTGTTGTATGCTTTGTTGATCAATGACAGGTTTTAATTCTTGAAGCGTAATGAAATCACTATCGTCATCAGGAACTTGTAAAAGTCGCGAATATGGTATCTCTTGAACAGAAAAATTTCTGGCGACCATAATCACGCGCGGACAATGTGCAAATGCCTAGATAACACGGAAGAGTAGTTTAAGGAAATAGTAGGCTTGCGGTGCAACAGGTGACTGTGAAATGTTGGAAAGTTCTTTCTCACTCGCTTATTTAAACGTTGTTTCATTGGCAGTAATATTTGAATTTCAAATAACGCATGCTTAGTGCTTCCATTTTCCTTCAGGAATGAGTAAATTCTTTAAGTTCATATGTTGGTGATGGTTAGCGTATTGATAAATTTTTAAGGTTTAAAAACGATTTACCTATAATTTTAATTCAGATTGAGATATCTGTACCTTCATATTATCTTGCTTTCCATGTATTTCAAAAATTATAAATAAGCATGTTAAGTAATTATTGATATTTTATTATTAATAACTAAAATGTTTTATTCAAATAATTACCCCTCTTTTATTTTAATAAATTAACGTTTGTAAATTTTAAACTACTAGTAAAAATATTGGACAACAACAAATACTTAAATCAACAGTTTTTTTTTTTAATTTATTAATTATTTGCCCTAAGATTATATCCAACTTCACTAAGTATTTTTTCCACCATTTTTAATAATAGGCCTGATACGAGTATAACAAACACCAACCGAAATCAAGTTAAGATTTTCACAACATGCTTATGTTGGGCACAGGATATTTGCACTCGTGTCCAATCATAAACAGGGCATAAGATTTTTCTTTATCTGCTAAAACGAATAAGTGCACTCGGGCTATTAAATATGAATACCGATTTTTGGAGGTGACTTCACTGCGGGTAATGCGCTTAGGATGATTTATTGTTTAACTCCGCTGTAAATGTGTCTATCAGGACTATTTAAAAAAGTTTACACATTTTTCGAGTACGGCACCGATTCCCTCGCATGTAAAGAAACCTTGATGTATCCGACGTTCATTGCAGTTTGTGGTTATATCTTTGGTAAAAGCCCTTAAGAGGATTAGAGATTAGTGAAGTCACCTCTAAATATCGGTAGCCAAGGCTTTTCGCTCATTAGCACTCAACCCTATCTATAACTTTATATACTTTAATAACAGGAAAATTCCTAATCTTTGTTTTTGATACTTAAAACGAGTGCCAATGAAAAAAAAAATGCACAATTTACAGTTCCTACACTACATCAGTACCTAGTAAAATTTTACAACCGCTACTTTGTGGGATTGTCGGACAATGCAGGGGGATAATGACACCAATAAAAGGAGCGTTCCGCCAGTGTATAGTGGGCTAGAAACATCCAGGGTTGCATTAAATTTGTGATTTATGGTTTTGTGGGTCCAACATTCATGGTTAACTTTGAAATATCTATAAAATTTTATTAGGTTGATGTAGAGTAGGAACTGTACAATTGTATTTACAATGGAGAAAAAGGAAGGAAGATAGTTTGAAAAATTGGTCGAAAGTTATTTTCACAGAGCTTCCCTCGCTCCTGAAGTATAGTGGTCCAACTCTGACTCTGTATGGCACTGCAATCTCAATTACCGCAAGTATTAGGAACTCTTTTAAAAATGTAAATAGCCGTGCCACAAATCATCTTAGAGGTTTACGAGCACATACGGTCCTGTGTAGTGTAGACAGTCGGTCCCTTGATGGTTTATGACCGCTGGATTACTTACGGCAGAGGCCTATTGTGGAACACTTAACTCCTTTACAATAGGATACAGTCATAAAAACGAACCAGCAGTTGCATACCCAAAAAATATGAATGTAATGATAAATTACAAGAAGAAACTCATCATATTTTGTACATTTTAGATAGGATTTATTCGGCAAACTTTTGAGCTGACGTCATCAATTTTTTGGAGGGGATAAGTAAATATATTTATTTTGATTAAAATTTTTTTATGCTCATCATAACTGTAAACCATCTGCAAGATTTCAAAGCATTCGCAACGATAAGTATAAAAATCCATTTCAGAACTCCCTTCGTCTAAGCCATAAATTGACCCAAGTAAAGAACAAATTTTTACTTCCCGAACATAATCTAAGGAAGTATTGTAATTGGACAATCCAGTGAACGGTTACTTTCATGTTTTCTCGACGTTTAATGATCTCTAGGGTATGGCAAAATAGGTGCCCGTTGTCATCGGTCTGGCGTCCGTCGTCTATCTGTTGTCGATTTTTATTAGACAGATAATCTCAGAAACTACCGTACTGATGGTTGTCAAATTTTATATGTACACTGCTCAAATTAATTAGCGAAACATATTTTTGTCTTTTTTTTCCTCCATGACCTTCTCCGGCCGTTCTTGTATACACTCTTGTCGCTCTGAGGCGACGCCATGCCCTGTGGATTACAGAAGGGCTAACTTGAAGGTCTGCGGCTACTGACCATTTTTGAGCAAGGCGACTGTCTGCGCATTTTGAACTGGCATAGGAATCATATCTCAGTGTTATCAATGTTCGATTTTCAACTGTTTCAGTAACAGCTTAATACCACTATCAAATTATAGTTTCCCAGCATTTTGGTTTTTGTAATGGCTGAATATAAACAACGATTTCTTAAGTCCGCTGAAATAATCAAGATGGTTTTCATACAGAATGTACCTTTTAAAACTGACATGTTTGATTTTCATAATATTTTCTTAAAGAAAGTTATAGTTTGGCAAAAAAGTGTTCCGCTCATTAATTTGAACTCTGCATTTTAGGATAATTGTATAGATAGATGGTAAACCGCTAACCAAAGTTTATCTGATTATCCCCACAACAATTTGATGTCATCACCTCAAAATTTTGAATATACTATTAAAAATTTATAAAATACCATAACTTCTGGTTTATGAGTCCACGTTGCTTTTATGTACCGGCCGTACGGAAGTATTGTAATACCATCGGACGAATGGCTACTTTCACGCTTTCTCGATATGGCATGATGGAAAGAAAAATGTCTCTCGTTTTCATGTGTCTGCCCGTCGCCTGTGTAGATTTTTGTTTGAAACAGTTAATCTCTGAAAACACCCTACCGATTGTTGTCAAATACAGGGTTTCTATAAATGATTATAGGGTCACAGTAGTTCATGTAAGCGTGCCGTCCCTCAGATTTAACTGTACGGAGATCTGTACGAAGTGCCCAAGGACGCATGGCAAAAACCACACGCGTCTGTATAACTGGTTGACTAAACGCTTCATATAGGGTGATGCACGAGTAATAATCACAGTACATATATACATATCATTAATGATATCTATACTGTGTAATAATGAGCCCAAAAAAAATTAAAATGCAACTAATATTACATTCCGCAACTTACGTGGATTCAAAATTCAATTTTTAATAAATATGCAAACATAGCAGCCATGAAGTTTGTCAGTTTTGACATTAACATTATAAAAACTCAAATAAGTGAAATTCTAACGAAAAAGATGCTTTAATAAAGAACAGAACATAAAAACGAAACAAATCAGTTAAGGAGATGTTCAAAATGCTGTCCACCACTTCTTTAGCATGCGTCAATTCGTTTCCAGAAAGATCTTCTCACACTCGTATCGCTGGAGTTACACATCTACAAGCGACAGTTATTTGATGTTCCAAATCTTCTCTACTATTAATAGGTCCTTGGTAGACATGATATTTGACCATTCTCCATAAAAAGTAATCTAGTGGAGTTGTATCAGGATTTCTAGAGGGCAAGGATTAGTTGAACCCCTACCCATCCATTTATTTGCCGAAACTGAGTCCGAATAGTGTCTCACATCTCTGTGGAAATGTGAAGACTGGCTTATGCCTACCCTCAGGGCCGGCTTAACACGGTAAGCGAAAGATGCACCGCATCGGGGCGCCCGTGACAAAGGGCGCCGGGCGGCGGGCGCCGCCTATGCTATTATATTAACTCTTAAAAAAAAAATATATTAGTTTTGCATTGAATCACTACCAATAAAATATTATAGCAGTAACAGACCAAGGCGCCCATCGAAAACTTTTCAGAAAAAGCTACATTTTAACATTCCACTATGACCACCAAAACAGATCCCAAAAATTGGTCTAAAGAGTTTAGCCAGTACTTCCCTCGCTGTTGGAAACGTGACGACTGCATGCCTATTGTGTTTTTTTTCGCAGTAGATTTCATATATTTTTTTTTGAGTTACCCGGTATATGCAAATTCAAAAAATATGAATGGAATGATAAATTACAAGTACAGACTCATCATATTTTGTATATTCTAGATAGGATTTATTCGGCAAACTTTTGAGCTGACGTCAACAAGTTTTTGGAGGGGATAACCAACTATATTCTGACTAAAGATTTATGATGCTCTTTATAACCTTAAAATATCTGCAAGATTTCAAAGCATTCGGTTTTGTAGTTCTTGATTAACTCAATAAAATATATTCACGCATTCATTAATTTTTTGGAGTCACCCTGTATATAGAAATCCAAAAAATATGAATGGAGTGATAGATCACAAGTACGGACTCATCATATTTTGTACATTTTAGATATGATTTATTCCACAAACTTTTGAGCTGACGTCATCAAGTTTTTGGAGGGGATAAGCAAATATTTTTTGAGTAAAGATTTATGATGCTCTTTATAGCCTTAAAACATCTGCAAGATTTCAGAGCATTCGGTTTTGTAGTTCCTGATTAAATCAATAAAATATATTTACGCATTCATTAATTTTTTTGAGTCACCCTGTATATGCAAATCCAAAAAATATGAATGGAGTGATAGATCACAAGTACAGACTCATCATATTTTGTACATTTTAGATATGATTTATTCCACGAACTTTTAAGCTGACGTCATCAAGTTTTTGGAGGGGATAAGTAAATATTTTTTGACTAAAGATTTATGATGCTTTTTATAGCCTTAAAACATCTGCAACATTTCAAAGCATTCTGGTTAGCAGATTAAAAATTAAATTTCAAAATATTGTTTTATAATTTTGATTTTTTTTCCAAAAATCTGGACGTTTCGGGTGAAAAGTCGATTCAGAGTTGTAAACTACATGTGTAGGACTATGTTATTTTATACAATTGAAAACCCATTTACTATGTACAATTTTGAAGTGACGTCATCGCATTAGTGGTGGGGATGATTAGACAAATT